AAAAAAAAAAGCTTATGAAGAAACCACAAGCTTGATGGAAACAATTTTATAATGGTATGTGTGGCTTAGTGTATACTACTGTTGTGATTATATTTTTTGATTTTATTATTTGGAGTTAGTAACTTTCTGTACTGGCTTACATTTGTGCTATTGTTTCTGTTCAGATTTTGCAATGTCTCAGCACTGTGATAAAGATTTTTCTTATGATTAATAGGCATTGAGCTATAGTTTTACTAAAATGATTTGTAGCATGAAATTTACTTGGAGCATATTTCTTTTATATTCTACTTTGAAAAGAAATTACTAGAAATTTAAGTAGAGTTATTGAAGGGCTTCTATCAGGCTACTTCAGATTTCTTTAGTGACTTAACTGATTGGCTTTCTGATTCCTAGTGTTTAAACATCCATTTAATTAAAAGATACTTTTTATTAGCTATATAATTTGGATAATCTTCCTATCTTTTTAGCTAGTTACCCATTCCAAAAGATGTGATAAAATTGTGTGGAGTTGAAATGTTTTTAATCTTTTCTATTCATGTACTATACTTTTCTCAGTGTTCATCATATAAATTATTTATGTTTAATGTCTAGTCTCCCTGTCTTGAAGCTATCTGCGCTTGACACAATTTACACTCAGTACCTGCTGAATGGATTAGTGAATAAATGACAGCTCCTTGTTTATAAGCTTTGTGGATTTCTTATAATCCAAATATTCATGTAGTTCTTGGATAATAGCCATTTTCATTACATTTTTGCAGATTGCCAGCCACAGTGGCTATGTGCAGATTGACTGGAAGAGAGTTGAAAAAGATGTAAATAAAGCAAAAAGACAGATTAAGAAACGAGCAAATAAAGCAGCACCTGAAATCAACAACATAATTGAAGAAGTAAGACAGTATTTCATTTTGGATTTGTTCTTGCTGTTGTTAATGGATCTCAGTAGAAAATATAACTGGGGATTGCCTTCTTTTAAATAAAATGGTGTTTGTTGTCATATCTAGAGTGCTAGGTAGACACTGTGATCAAGCCACCATTTAAATCAGTCATATTTTGATGTTAGACATAGGTTTCCCCCTGCCTGTCTCCTACCCATTTGGATCTGCATGTAAAAGCTGGCAACATTATTCTCCTAAAAGCTTTCCTCTCCTTTTCTAAATGTATATAAGTGTGTGTGTGTGTGTGTGTGTGTGTGTGTGTGTAAGGAAAACTACTTTTTTCTTGAGGCAGATAGTTTGAAAATATATATTTTGTTTCAATTAACATTATTAATATATAAGTTATATATATTTAATACATATTTTATGTGTATTTTGCCTCTTTATCCCTTGTGTTCTTTTTAGAATTGAATGTACTCTTGGCTTTCCTTTTTTTTTGTAATCCTCCCTTCAACATTCTATTGAAAAAATTTTCAATCAGTTGAAAAGTTGAAAGACAAAGTGAATACCCAAGTACCCTTCACATATTTACTAAATTATTCATGTTCTGTTGCATTTGCTTTATCTGTATATGAATAAAATTTACTCCTTTTTGCCAAATTATCTCCCCACATATCTACCAAGAATATAGATATTCTCTTATACAACTACAAGTACTATTATTAATCCAAATAATTTAACATGATACAATTTTTTCTAATATATGCTTCCTATTAAAATTTTCCCTCTGGGGCTGGGAAGGTGGATCAGTGGTAGAGTGCTTTCCTTGCATGCATGAAGCCCCAGGTTTGATTCTCAGCACCACATAAGCAGAAAAAGCCAGAAATGGCACTGTGGCTCAAGTGATAGAGTGCTTGCCTTGAGCTGAAGAGCTGAGGGATAGCACCCAGGCTGAGTTCAGGTCCTACAACCAAAAAAATTTTTCCCTCAGAATATCTTTTATGTCCTTGTTTCACAACCAAGATTTATATATTGTATTTGTCATTTCTCTCCAGAGCAGGGATGGGGAATAGTTAGCCAGAGGGCCTTTGAAATCATTTGGTATACAATAAGCAAATGAGCAGACATGTATGCCTTTTGTATGCTTCTCATCTGCTCAAGACTGCCTGCCTGTGTTGGTAATTTTGTTTATTTGTGCTGGTACTAGGGCTTGAACTCCGGGCCTTACATTCACACTTGGCTTTTCTCTTCAAGACTGGCCTTCTACCACTTGAGCCACACCTCCACTTCCAACTGTTTGCTGGTTAATTGGAAGTAGCCTCAGATTTGTCTGCCAAGGCTGGTTTAGAACTGTGATCCTTAGATCTCAACCTCCTGAGGAGCTAGGATTACAGCCATGAGCCAACAGTACCTGACTCGTACTGATAATTTTATGTGGCCTATGAAATGATATTATAAATATCCAAATGGCCCTTGGCAGAAAAAAGGTTTCCCACCCTTCCCTAGAGTTTCCTTTTTAAACAGTTCTCTTATTTGAAGTCCTCTTTCCCCTTCCCTTCTCTTCCCTTTTCCCTTCCCCTTTCCCTCCCCCTTCCCTTCCCTTTTCCCTTCCCTTCCCTTTTCCCTTCCCTTCCCTTTTCCCTTCCCGGTCTCTCTCTTTCCTCCCTTTTTTCTGTTTTTGATTGTTTGCTAGGCAGAACCTCTTATAGTCTGACTTATTTTCCTCTCTCTCTTTTTTGTTTTGTGCAGTTCGGGGGCTTGAACTCAAGGCCTGCTGTCCCTGAGATTTTGTGCTCAAGGCTAGTGCTCTACCACTTAAGCCACAGTTTTACTTCCAACTATTTTTTGTGCTTAATTGGAGATAAGAATTTTGTAGACTTTCCTGTCCAGTCTGTCTTCCAACTTTGACCTGAGATCTCAGCCTCCTGAGTAGCTATTACAGGCATGAGCTACTGGCATCCTGCTCTTTTTGTCTGTTTTTTTAAAAAAGACTTTATTAGTATGTATTACTTATATAAGCAGAGTTTCATTGTGATTTTTTTCTATACATGCAGACATTATATCCCATCAACCTCACCCCCTCTTGAATTTTTCTAATAGCTTTCTCATGATTTTGTTTAATCATTTTATCAAAATGATTTATTATTGAAGACTTTTACTGGCAAAATGAACTATTAAATATCATTTTGCTGGTATGGCAACTTATTAACTCATATGTATTAGTAGCTTGATGAGTGGACATTTTATATCTGTCCTATATTCAGATTTCTTTTTACTTGGAAGATTTTTGCTACACAGATATCTATTGTCTTAGTAGCCAACAAGGTGATGGGACCTGATTGTGGTCTCTGGGGTCCTTCAGTTTGTGAAGGACAGATCTGGAATCTTTTGTGGTTTGGTGCTAGCAGTAGTAGGTTAAAAACGTTTAGATGACTATTAAATTAAGGTAAATAACTGTGAATGTTTAGCTTCAGATTCAATCATTAGAGTATTTTTGAAATTTGTGTATTTTTATTGTGATAAAGCATATGTAACAAAATTTGCTATATTTTAACCATGTTTTTATGTTCAGGAACATCAAACACATTCACTCTTCTCTACGATTGTTAATGCCATCAATTTGTAGAATTTTTATTTATTTATTTTTGGTGGTACTAGGGTTTGAAGTGAGGGCCTTGCGTTCACTAGGCAAGTTCCCTACCACCTAAGCCACAATCCTTCTACCTTAATTTTTGTCATTTCAAACAAACTTGATTTCTGTTAAATACTAATTCCTACAAATGTCCCCTCTTTTTTGGCTTTAGTAACATCCATTCTGCTTTCTGACTCTGTATTTGATAATATATATGTAGTAGTATACATATGTTCTTTAAAAAATTCTCTTACAGTAGTATCTTAAGGTTCATCCACATTGTAGCATAATTAAGAGTATTCTTGTTGAAATTTACTTTGCTTTGTTTTAGGCAACAGAATTTATCAAGCAGAACATTGTGATATCCAGTGGATTTGTGGGAGGCTTTTTGCTAGGCCTTGCATCTTAAGGACATGAATGTTCTACCTTAGTGGATCCAACTGTGAGAAGAAAAGTGGTGGCCACTGGGTGATCTCTCAACAGAACTTGCCACCAGTCTCCAGAGTGAGGAGAAATAACTAGCTGGACAATACCAAATTCACAATTTAACATTTTGCCATCTGAAGTTTGGCAAACTAGTATCTGCTGTAAAACAACCTGTGTGGTATGTGAACCATAGTATTCTTGAGCAAAACATGGCTTTTAATCAGGTATTTCATTTAATTTGCATTTGTGTAGAACTGGCTATAAAATATTACTATTGGATGTAGATGATACATATAGTGAGAGGAAATCTATTGCTTTTATTGCCCAATGAATATGATCCTCTTTTTAAGTTGTTCTTCATTGTGCTTTCTTGTGTACGATCAGTAATTAAAATTTGTCCTTACAGTTTTCTTTTTGTAAAAAACAAACAAACAAACTGAAGAACCTTTTGTGGAAGGCTTTATGAATAGAATGATTAAAGATAGCAATTAGACTTTAGGTTGTTTTTTGTTTTGCTGTATTTCTTACTTTGCTCATACAATAATTGTATATGTGAAAGAAGATTTTTCTGAGGAAGTAGTGCATGTCCAAAGCTCTTTTTCTTTTATTTGTTGTCTATTTTAAAATATCTTTTTGTATGTTACCTTCTATTATATATATATATATATATATATATATATATATATATATATATATATTTGTCCTAGTAGCCTTAGCAGAGCTAATTATTTTGTGAGTATATATACTTGACTCATTGATTTATGAACTTCAAGTGCACCACATTTTTCATTTCCAAAACTCCTTTGGCCCTTCATCGTGAAGAAACAATTGCTTTGAACTACTTAGTAGTATATTATAAATTTGTTATCTGAAGAATCATTATTTTCTGTATAGTCATGAAATTGTAGCCTAAGCAGAATTGTCTCTTGATCAAGTCTGAAATGTAAGAGTAAGGCCTTCAGGCTTTGGTAGCATTATGTTGGTTGAGCACTAGGCCAGTTTACTGGTTTTTCAGGACCAACATCACACTCCCTCAGAGCCTTCTTTGCCTCCCCTCCTGCCTCCCTCAAAAAAAAAAGCTTTCTATATTGTTAGTTTTGTCTGTATACCTCTAGGTGGGAAATGGGACTAAGTTTTCAGATTTGAAAGACTGCAGATATTCAGATCATCCATCTCTTTTTGATAGGATGTTCCCATGATGTGTTCTCTATATTGTAAACATAGTATGTTTCATACTTTCAATACTGGTACAAGGCTGTGTACTTGCATTATCATGAGACTCTAAAATTGAATGTGGAATCCATCTTTAATTTCTTGCTTTATTCTCATTAGTGCCTCAATATGATGCTAAATAAAACTCAGAGTTTCTTAATATGAAGTGCTTTTGCTTATAAAGACTTGCTTTTAATTCTTTGAGCTTTTCTCTGTTTCTACCTAACCAACCTTTCTTTATATGGCTATGGAATTAAATGGAAAAAAGTGTGGTCAGGGCATGTTAGATGGAACCTCACCCAGATTCAGTGAGCCACACCTGAGTGATCCAATATGGTGAGGAAAACCACTTTAAGGAGATCCAGGCACCATTTTTCATTCTAAGAATATTTATACTGTCTAGGGTGTGTGTGTGTGTGTGTGTGTGTGTGTGTGTGTGTGTGTGTGTGTGTGTGTGTGTGTGTGTGTGTGTGTGTGTTAGTCCTGGGGCTTAAACTCAGGGCCTTGCTGCTGTCTCTGAGCACCAAGAGTGGTGTTCTACCACTTGAGCCAGAGTTCCACCTCTTGCTTTTTTTTTGGGGGGGGAGGGTAATTTATTGGAGATTAGTTTCATGGAATTTCTTGTCTGAGCTGGCTTCTAACTGTGACAATCTCAGATCTCAATCTTCTGAATAGGATTACAGGCACAAGCCAGTTGTCACTTGGCTTATACTGTCTGTGTTTTATGATACAGTAGGAATGAAATGAAGTACTTAAAATGCCCTCAAGCTTTCAACTAAAGTGACATTAAACTATTCCTATATATGATAATATAAGATAACCTGGTATATGATGTAGTGGCACAGATTATAGTAGAGATGAACTACTTTGATAGTCCAATTATATGAATGAAAACAGAAAAATATAGAATATTGTTTTTACCTGTGCATTTCTAATTATCTTGTGATAATAGAAAATATATGTATGCAAATGCAATACACACAGTGCTCAACATCCTCTCCCATCTCTTTAGTGCCCTTTGTTCTGTCTCACATCTACTATCTTTTTCCTTTGAAGTTGGACACCACTTGAAGTGGTCATATGTGTCCATGTTGTCTAGTCTGTAAAGCATATATGTGGTACAAGTTAAGTTTCCCTTAGCTGAAATACTTGGGGCCAGAAGCATTTCAGGTATCAGATTTTAGAATATTTTCTTATGAGATATTTTGGTGTGAACAATGAATTTTCATCTAAACAAAATGCATATATTTTATATAACTTATACACATAGCCTAAAGGTGTGTGTGTGTGTGTGTGTGTGTGTGTGTGTGTGTGTGTGTGTGTGTGTATATATATAAAATTGTGCTAGTCCTGGGGCTTGAACTCAGGGCCTGGGTGCTATTGTTGAGACTCTTTCCTCAAGGCTGGTGCTCTAGCACTTAAGCCACAGCTCCATTTCTGGCTTTTTCTGAGAAATTTATTGGAGATAAGAGTCTCACTGACTTTCCTAGCTTTGAACTTCAATCCTTAGATCTCACCCTCCTGAGTAAGATTACAGGTATGAGCCACCAGTGCCTGGCTATACTGTTTTTAATAATCTCATATATGAAGTAAAACTTTGTGCTTCATAACTATGGGGGCTAGGAGGGTTTTTTTTGTTTTAAATCTTGAAGACCCTAAAAAATGATTATGTATATATTTTTTGTTGGTTATGGAGCTTGAACTCAGGGTCTGGGTGCTATCCCTGAGCTTTTACTCAAGACTAGAGCTCTACCACTTAAAAAATTATCTTTAAGTAGTTGTACAAAGAAGTTCCCGTTCTATACAACAGTATATGAATACAAAGTGTCTGATAACATTGTCACTCATTGCTCCTAACCCATCCCTTCTCTCACTTTTCTTCTTTTTTTTTAAAATTGAGATTAGGTGATTACATAAATTTCACATATTTTGTAGTATTGTGGAATAGTGATACTTAAAGTCACAAACACATTTTAACCTTCACAAGGCAAATTGTCATGATCACGGTCTATAAAGTTTGTGAATTCTATGACAGTACAATTATTTCTTCTACATCAGGTGTTATTTACATTTCTTTGCTTTTGCTTAGTGTAAGCTGTTCCCTCTTTCCCTCTCATTCGTCCCTTCCCATCCCTGTCTTTGGGTTGGCTTAGTTCATTTTCATCTATGTCCAGTGCAAGCTCTACCACTTTGAGTCACTCCACTTCTAGTTTTCTAGTGGTAAATTGGAACGAAGAGTCTCATGGATTTTCCTGCCTGGTCTGATTGAACCACAATCCTCAGATCTTAGCCTCTTGAGAAGCTAGGATTACAGGCACGAGTCACCAGGGCCTCCCACTTGCTAGGCAGGCAAGATTATTGCTTAGCCACACTTCTACTCTGGTTATGTTCAAAACGGGGTCTCACTTCCTGCCTAAGAGCATACCTGTGCACAATCTGCCTAGGTTACACTTCCTATTTTAGCTAACATAACATGCACTTGCTACTGTAGCCAGCTTTTTGTTGAGAAGGTATCTCCTGAATTCTGCCCAGGCTATCTCCAAGCTGTGATCCTCCCTACCTCAGCTTCCCAAGTAGGTAGGATTATAGGCATAAGTTAATAGACACTTGGCTCATATTCCTGCATTTTGACTATGACTTGTCACATGAGTTCAAGCATGGAATTTTCCACTTATGGCATTATGTGTGTGCTAAAAATGAATCCGATTTTGACCTGGGTACTCATGGCTCATGCCTGTAATTTTGGCTTCTCAAGAAATGTCTGTGAAACTCTTACATCCAGAAGCAGAGGTGTGGTTCAAGTGGTAGATCACCGGCCTTGAGCAAAAAAGCTCAGCCTTAAGCAAAAACACTCAGGCCTTGAGTTCAAGCCCCAATATCAACACCAAAACAAAATGTATCAAGTTGTGAGGGCATTTTGGATTTTGGGTTTTGGGATTGGGGTCACTCACCTAATAGATATTGCTTTACTCATGGTGATATTCAATTGAAACTTTAGGTAATAATTCCTAATTTCTTGAAATGAAAGGTGATTACAATAGAATATCTCTTTCCTCCTGATTTTTGTTAAATTATAATTACTGTTAATAGTGCATTCTAATGAAAGAATTCTATATAGTCATTAGTGCAGTCTAGAATTATATGAATTGATTTAGAAAAAGCTAAGGATATAGCTCACTTGCAGTAGCATGCTCCAATTAGCCAGCAAAATGCCAGGGCCCATGTTTCATCCTCAATTCTGAAAACGAGAACAAAAGATGGAAGAAGAGTGAAAGAGAAGAAAAGGAGGGAAGGGAGGGAGGGAAGAAGGGAGAAAGAGAAATAAATTTATCATGTTAGTGTTAAAACCAGGTTACAGTTTGATCCTTTTTTCTTTCTTTCTTTCTTTCTTTCTTTTTTTTTTTTGTGCCAGTCCTATGGCATGAACTCAGGACCTGGGTGTTATTGCTTAGCTTTTTGGCTCAAGGTTGAGTCACAGCTCTGCTTCTACCTTTTTGCTGGTTAATTGGAGATAAGAGTCTTAGGGACTTTCCTACCTTGGCTGATTTTGAACTGTGATTCTCAGTTCTCAGCCTCCAGGAGTGAGCCACCAGTGCCCAGTATTGATCCCATTAAAAAACTTTTTTTTGTGGGTCATGGGGCTTGAACTCAGGGCCTGGGTGTTCCCTTTGAGCTCGTTTTGCCCAAGGCTAATGCTCTACCACTTTTAGCCACAGTGTCACTGCCAGCTTTCTGGTAATTAAGTGGAGATAAGAGTCTCACAGAGTTTCCTGCCTGGCCTTGTTTTGAACTTCATTCTCAGATCTCAGCCTCCTGAGTAACTAGGATTACAGGCATGAGCCACCAGCATCCAGCTTGATACCATTTTTTAAAAGAAGAATTCACAGGTGAGTGAGTGTAAGTATACACACAAATGCTCATTGTGGTTATCTCTTGAAAAGGTGGTATGCAGGATTTTCATTTCATACTTTCAGTATTTTTGTATTTTCTGGAATCTTAACAGTTAAATTACGTTAATTTATAATTAGAACAAGGTTTTTTTTGAATCAGGGATAAGAATTTAAAATTAGTAGATTGTTGCTATTTTAAAGGATATTTTCATTTCAATTTTTGTGCTTCATTCAGTGAACTTATTTTTGAGTTTTTAATCAAAACACTTGGATATAATTCAAGAAGTCAAATAGGATTATAAGGCTTATAGAAAACAACAAGAGTTTGTTCTACCTCTCTCCAGCATAATGACTTCCTTCTTCCCTCAGAGAAGTTTTAATTGTGTTAGTTCTTTT